TTTGGAATATTATTTTTTATCCATCAGTATGAATCTTATTATCCTAGAGGTAGCAAAGAAATTAGAAGTAAGCATGGAAAGCAATGATTTCATAAGAGAAAACTGGAAATACCTTAGAGCCCTAAGTCTTCTGAGGTCAGAAAATCTAAACGTAAGCATCCTTCAGTGGACCAAAAGAATTCTTTAACTTCTCCAGGCTTCATTTTCTTCACTTGTAAAATGGAGGGTTTAGTCCAGTCCAAGATAGCAAGTGGTCATGCTTATAGAGGTGACGTTCAACTTGAAAAGGACTCCTCTTCCTACTTTCCCTTTCTCTACCTTGTAATTCCAGTTATGATTTCAATCTTAAGAGAGGGGCAACTTAGTCAAAGAAAGATGTGTTCACATTTTCCAGATGGGTTAAAAGTTGCACTATATTGTGGACTTGAAGGTATACCCAGAGCATTGGAGTATTATCTGAGTATATTCCAATAAATACTGCCTTTACTATAAAGCTTTAAAAACACAAAAAGTACCATTTATATCTGGAAAAAGTTATTTTTATCTCCTCTCTTTTTTCCGCTTTATTTCTATCTATCCAAGGGCTTTTTCTTTCTAATATTCTTTCCATTATTGGTGTACATTTTAAGTTATATTTTGATCACACTAGTTTATGCTATTTAGGGTCTATCAACATGACAAAAGTTACAGGAAGCAGAGCAGTAAGGCTTTATTTTTACTGCCTTTCACCAAGTTCCAACACACTATTTGATAAAGAGAGGAAGGTAGTGAGAATCATGACTTCCCACATTTTTTAGTTTTAGCCAAGCTAAACATGACTTCAACAGAAGCACAAGTGCCCCGAGAACCGACAGACCCACATGGCCCTGGATGAGACAAACCCTGAGCTCACTCTCACAAATGCTGTCTTATGTCCATTAGTCTCCCACTCTGACTCTAGAAAGAGGACACAAATAGATTTTATGGGGCAGAATGACCCAAAAATTTTGAGTTATACCTAAAACTTGTGCTTTCTAATTGAAAATGGGTAGATCTGATTCTAAAGTGGAGAATGAGCACCAGGAGAGCTTTTTGGAACTACATCTGTCCAGAAGTAACTGCACATCATCTTTCCAGGGAATATGAAAATTTCCAGGAAGAGAATCATGGCCAGTCCTTATGAAAGCTCCTCACAAGGATCGTATTCTTGAGGAAGTACCTGTGCTTACACATGAGCTCCCACGCACAGTGTGCACATGTACACACATCCACCCTTCACCCCTGCTTAAGATCAATGTCCTGAAGAATCTAACGTATCATTCATACAACCACCTCAACACTCTGAGAGTTGATTCATAGTCACCCTATCTTCTGCTAGGAAATATTACTTCAACTATTTGTCAAGTGATAGAATAATCAAAGGACATATAGAAACTTCAAAGGTTTTGTTCTTCTGAACAGTTGGACATTTAAAATAGTTGAGGATCTCCCCCATTAAGTACCAAGCCATTTTTTTCAAATTATTTCAACCATCTTGGATGGAAAGATTACTAAATTTTATTGCATATGTTAAATTTCCTAAATATAACTTAGTATCACTTTTGTAATTCAAGGCTATCATAAGCATCAGTTTCTGTATTGGGACTAGATAGGAAGTTTGTTGCTCAAGGATGCAGAGACCTGGAGATGAGATCTGAAGGCTCATGGAAAGTTGATGAATAATGAGACAAAAATGGAACTGCAAATAATGAGTCCAGACTCAGGAATCAGGTACAGGTTGGGAGTCAAAGAGATAAAGTGCAGGTTAGCTTTAAACGGGGTGAGATTTAAGAAAATTGTTTTCAAAAGGCATTACTTCTGTGACTTGATTTTCTAGCTAGCATCACTGTAGTACCCTAGCAAAAATCTCAAGTCTACGGGATCATCTCTGGCTGCCAGGGTCTCTTTCTGTAGCTTTCCTTATCTAATCCTTTGTTCTCAGTTGGAGTCCTAGAGATAATCCACCCCACCAGAAGTGAATACAGGCAAAAGCTGCCTTTCTGATGACTCAGCTGTGTGAGCACCTTGTCTACTCTTACAATATTCAGAGATATCTTGGGTCTGGATACTGGATTTGAGCTATGTCAGCAGGTGGGAGAGGGCTGCAGAAGTAAGTTCCAATAGATTAGGAGTAGCTATTCTTTCTTTTCTAGGAAATAGTTCTACTAGAACTATTTAATGACAGTGACCACGCCCATGCCTCTCCAGACTAAAAGTGTGGACTTGCATCTTTGACTGTATGTTCCCAATAGAAAGATTCCAATCTAGGCAGATCTTATTGCTCCTTTCATATGCAGCCAGTACTGCAGAACCTCTGAAAATGGACCCCCCCCCAAAAAAAAGAACTTACCAAAGTCCTCTAAATGACCAGTCTCATGGGACATGCCCCTTCCTAGAAATGAGATGGCTTCTAGGAGGAAAAGAACTCATCAGCAAGACTGCTGATAGAGGCCACTAATCAGAGAACAAGACCAAGGAGCCAAAGGGTAACAGTGACTTATCAATTTACATTGCAGGTGACAAGACTAAGAGCCTTCACCTTCAATTTACTATAGCCATGAAAGTGAAACAGTGTCAAAAACAGAACCATAAAGTGATCTAATAGAACAAGAAGAAGAGGAGGAGGAAAAAAGAAGAGGAGGAAGAAGAAAAAGGAGGAAGAGAAGGAGAAAGAGAAGAACAAAGAAGAGGAGGAGGAGAAGGAAGAGATGTTTATGCATGTCACCTTGCAATTTATCTGACTACCCTTAATCGGTCTTCTTTTCATAGAAATCAGTCTTTGCTTTCTCTCCAATTATCACTCTATCCTATAACCTAGTTTTCCTTTTATTCTGTCTCTTATTGGGGGAAACAGGAAGAAAAATGTTTGCTGTGAACAACATAGTGCATGGTGAGGAGCAGTAAGTCCTTGGGGGTCAGAGACAGACCCCTGTCAGGCCTGTCACTTTCTAGTCATGTGACCCTGGCCCAGTTACTTAACCTCTCTGACACTGAGCTCAACTTCTTTCCCCATAAAGTGGAGAAAGAATAGAATAGTGCAAAGAATACCTGATAGTGCAGATGTCATGCTATGATCCTGAGTATCACCTGAGATCACTATTCTGTAACGTTCAGCAGAATCGGGGCTCTCTGGCAGAAGCAAGGGCCTGCCCATCAGGTAGGAGCTGCTCTCAGAAGACACTTTCAGATTTAATAAAGGTCTCTGAGTAGAGGTTCTTGAGGATCCATATTAACAAATAAGGATTAATTTTCACATACAGACAAGTCAACTAGGACGTTAAAGCTGCTTTAAAACTTCACATTTATTCTTACAATCTCACAAAGACATTTATTGTATGGTAAAATCTTCAATTTTCGTATAAATACAAGGAATATTGTTATCCAAATTTCTAAATAATTAGAATCCCGAGCAGCTAGAGGTTTCTACACACTGGTAGCCATTCCTTTCTTATCCGCCAGTAAGCTCAGTCTTTAATCACGTTGTCACTCATAAATGTTAACATTGGGGTTCCCAGGAGTCTGTTCTTAATCCTCTTTAGTCTCCCTCTTATACACCACCTGGAGGGTTGTCATCTCCAGGTCTCTTCTTACCTCCAGGCACTGAACACTATGTGACAGATACCCTCAAGAAACTCATTAAGACTGTCATTGGGTGCTGAGGATGTAGTTCAGTGATAGAGTATCAGATAGCATGAACAAGACCCTGGGTTTCATCCCCAGCGCTACAAAAAGACTGTCGATGTACAAGTCATTCCTTCTCCCAAGAGTTACCCCACCTCTTGTTTCAATGTACTTTAAGATGCTTCTAAAGCCTCACTCAACCAGCTCTGCCCTCTATGCTGGTACACACTGATCACATGATACCCTGACAAATTTAAATTCTGTGTTTACACATCTGCCTCCCTCACCAGACTGAGGGCTCTTGAGCTTCAAAGTACATAAGAATCACCTGGGGTTCTCCTTGAAAATAGAGCCTCTGATTCTGTGTGGAGTCTGAGATTTCTCACAGCTTCTAGGAGACACTGATACTGTGTAGACTCTACCTGAGTAGCAAGCTTTGAAGAGCACATCTGAACTCTCAGGATTAATCTCTTCAAAAGATTATCATCTTTTGACACATCTGCCCAGCCACTCTACTGGAGGAATGTCAGGGCTGCTGATATAATGGAAGACAGAGGATGTGGGCTGGGAGGAGGTGGATTGGAAAGAGCAGATAACATCAGAAAGGAAACAGGACAAAGTTAGCAAAGAGACAGGAGGTAACAAAAAGAGGAAGAAAAAAGAATGCAAAAGACAAAGGGTAGTAAGGCAACGGTGCTCATGCCTGTAATCCTAACTACTTGGGAGGCAGGATCAGGAGGATCGCAGTTCCAGGACAGCATGGTTAACAAAGCTTGTGATAGCCCATTTCAATGGACAAAAACTGGGCAAGGTGGTGCATGCTTGTCACCTAGTGAGGGAGAGAAGTGTAAAATAGGAGGCTGGTGGTCTAGACCAGTAAAATGTGAGACCCTATCTCCAAAATAACCAGATCAAAAAGAGCTGGAGATGTGGTCCAAGTGGTAGAGCATCTGAGTTCAAACCTTAGTAGACAGATCAGGGAGGGAGAGGAAGGAAAGGAGAAGCGACAGGCATAGGATGAGAAATGGTCAGCTGACTTCTTCCTTTGGGTGGAACCTGACCTACATTATCTACTTTCCAGAGGAGGGGTTTACTTCCAGACTAAAGCTCTCCAAAATGGCTACTCCAAGTCATCCACACCACTGAAGAAGTGTGCACAGAGCTTCAATACTTCATTCTGACTCTTCCTTTCTGAGCGACTAGAGATGAGTTATTACTGTAACACCCATAACAATTCAGGGCCTACCACACAACTGTGGATGCATAGAATATATCAGCTAAGAAAATCTACAACAGTAAGAAGTCTTTTATCCCAAGAACTCAAACTGATTGCCCATCAAAATAACCCAAACAAAAGTTACCTGATATAGTTCAATCCGTTGTTCAGGCACTCTGGCTTTTGGGTTCTGCAAGCGAAAGACTCTGAACTCTGCTTTCACCAAATTGGAAGCATTCTTCTCCATTGCCGAGACGTCAAACCGGACGATTCTGAAGTAGGGTCTGTAGAAAGTGGGCGGGATGGCGTCTGCAAAAAGTTAGGGCAATCATTGAAAAGGACAAAATCCATTGTGTTCTCAAAAAAGACCTCAGCATGAGATTGTCCCAAGAAACCATAAGGGAAATATCTACAGAATGATTTAGTTTCCAATGGCCAATTTAATACCATTAACAATTTAACCAGAAAAATATGAAATAAAATAAACACGTGTGTTTGGTTACAGGAGTAGCAGATTAAGAGAGATTAACAAACCACTTGTAACTACATTTGAGGGTAAGCAGTTAACCCCATCCTTTGAAGGTTGACAGAGTGGTGGAAAATCCTAGATGTTATGAATTGGAACAAGTTCATGACAGTCGTGCCTAGAGAGAGCTGTCGGACTTGCATACACTTTAATCAAATGTGCCAAGAAAACAGCTCTAATGGCAAGTAGTTTGCAAATGTATTTTTTTCCTTGAAAGTTTGGCATGTAAATACGCTACTTTTATCTGAAGTCATGTACTGCATCTTTTTTGGCTTCAGTAGTTTGATTTTTCACACACATATGACCAAGTTAGAGTGAGGAAATCTGAAAACACAAACTGGCTATATCAGATTTAGTCATAAAATTCTTTATTCAGGATTATATCTGCTGGTGGAGGGTAATCCTAGCTGCTAGTAAAGAGAGCACAAATTCCTTCAGTTCTGAACCATGTAAAAGGCAGAGTTGCAGACAGGGCACAACAATTTCAAACTTATGGTTGCTTAGAGTTTTGCTGTTATTTTCTAGTAATCTAGAGTTGCCTTTGAATATGAAAGTGAAGCATATTAAAAGTCTACCCCACGGCCAAAGCAGGTCAGTGCTACCCCTCTGCTTCCATATCCAGCATCCATTTATTGAGCACTAACAGACAGACCTCTTGTTACAAGTATATTTCTACAATCTTCTTCCAAAATCTCCTGCAAATTTACCTTCCCCATTCCAGAGTGCTCCATCCAATCTGGTGGCTCCATTTCTCTCTAGCCTTTGCATGATTCTATAGCTTCATTACATCATAATCATTCACAGTTGTTTATGTTTCTCTACAAATATTTTTATTGCTTCTGTGTTATATTTGTTTATTTTATTTCACCCTGTGAAATTTTAAGAATCTTGAGGGCACAGGCTATATTTTCCAGGTCTTTCTTTTTTCCCACATATTCAGGACAGAGTTCTGCATACATGGAGTTCACCAAATAGCTACTGTTTGCATAGTTGGTCTTCAATGGGTGTCTTGAAAGACTCAGGCATCTGGTTATTGGCAATGCTAACTTCTCATTAAATAAACAAGCCATCTTGCTGATCTTAAAATAGAAATAAATACCTTTTGCAATTTCTTCGGAAATCCATGCCCTGACAATTACACTGAAAAAATAATTCTAGGAACATATGAATATTGCCTCATCTTAAGAGCCCTGCATTTTTGTCCCTTGTGAAAGCTTTTCTCCCTCCCTTTCCCTTATACTTCAGACTCTCCAAATTCAGGTTCTCGGAGAAGTGGTGAATTCCAAACCATGCTATGCTCAATGTGGGTTCATAAAACAACTGTGTGAATTGAAGTTTTGTAGCTGGTGAACCAGAAGTCTCAGAAACAAACAATCAAACATTTCCAGCACCACCACCAACCCAAAACATCCAAATTTTGGAGAATGGTATTCATGGAGACACAGAAATGACCCACTGCCATAGCACCACAGCAAAATAGTTGGTGGGCAGTTTTCAGGCAGGGGAACATTACCACCAGCAGAAAGGTTTTTTGGAGTCCCTTAGCATAGCAATTTGAAAAGGTAGCTGCTGAGAAGAAATATATCTTTTTTCTCCCTCTGGAATATGCCCATCCCAAATGCTTGGAAAGGCTGGTCCTATCCTAACCAGCACAGCTGAGAACAGGCCTGATGCCCAGACAGGGGAAGCAGGGCCGGGCTGGGGCCAAGCTCTTTGGTGTTGCACAGCCTCTTGGCCAGAAACTTCCACAGGCAAGTGGTGGCGTTTATCTTCCCTTGTCCTCCACATTAGACAGCAGAAGCTTCAAACATCCTTTGAAAGAGCATCCTGGAAGAGCAAGGCTAATTTAGTGTGTTTCCTGTCATTAGCAAGAGTAAACATCTCCTTCATTTTTCCCCCTTTTCTTTCAATGGCAGCCTAACAGGTGTTTTCTACTTTCAAATACCCATCTTTCACACCGCCTGCCTCAATCTTATCCTTCCATCAAGTTTGTAAATAAGTGCTCTTGAGATTTATTTTTATTCTCTTTTGTGTTTATTAAACTTGAACAAGTTTTTTTTTTTTTTCTTTTTTGGTCTTCTGCCCATACACACTCTTCCTTTTTACAGCTGCCTTAGACCATGAGGTCAATTGTGTTTCTTCTTCTTCTAAGCAAATCGTCCAGTGATCCTGTCCTAGGCTTTTGAGCTCTGAAGGGGTGACTACAAATATTTATAAGAGTAGCTTGATAGTTAAGTAGTCGTTCTGCTCTGCTCACTCTGAATGGGCAAACAGGGCTCTGTTTTGCTGGCTCTTAGGACCATTTAAGCGGTTTGTATTTCAACTGCCTGATAATACAAGTCTGCATTTGGGTTCTTGTTTGATAAATAGAAACAGCTAATGCACAAGGTGAAAGGATTGCTGAGCAGCCACCACTAGCAACTCTGCTGTGCTCTTTTACCCACAGTGAAGCAACCAGGCCTGGACAATGCCAGTACATAAGAACATGATAGAAACTGCTAATGGAAGATCTACACTTTCAATGGATAATCCCAGCTGTCCCCTGCTGTCATTTGTTATGGGTCAAAAGCCCCCTGCCTGGCTGAGGGACTTGAGCAACTTGCCAAATGTCTTCTCATTTGGAGGAAAAAAAAATTGTTGTAAGTTGCTCTGGCCTAGTCTGTGACCCTGCCCTAACTTCATAAGTGCTTTTGGACATATGGTACAGGGAACCAAAAGAGGCCCATCTACAGGCAGCCAGGACTCGGCGGGCTCCCTCTCTCAGCTCAGGGTGCCAGAGCAGCAGAGTAGGTGTTTAATGGCTTGCACAGCCCTGATCCACCCACTTAGTCTTGGAGGGACGGAGCTTTTTCCTCTGCTTCCTCCAAGAACTCATTTCCCCCTCTGGAATGAGAGTTCTCTCTAAAGTCTTCTGTAATTCCAATCCCAGTTCCTATTCCATTGCCAGGTGGTCAGGTACTTGTGTTTGACCTTGGCCAACTTACCCACACTTGCATCCTGGCCCTCTCCTTCTCTCCATTTCTGACCCACTTTTCAGTTCAATCAAATTGATTTTCCTCAACCCTTTGGATTTCACACCAGCAGGTCGACTCTGCTTCTCCCCGCAGGCTTTCCCATGTACCTTTCTCTCAGGAAAAAATATTACAGAGAACATTCCATGTGTCATCAAGTGAGAATTGTCCCCCTCACCTCAACCCTGGCCAATCCCCTCTTAAATCACTTGGGGAAATGGAGCAAGGGGGAAAAAAAGGAAATGTAAATAGTCATTAATTTCCAAAGGAACAGTACACAGAAGGTCTAAATAAAGCACCTAATCACATACTACTTTATAAACATTGTATTCACTTGAATCTGTTCCAAATAATTTATTAACTCATTGCATATTGTCCTCTCCCTGTATAAGCAACTCATAGTTCTTTGGTTCTCTGCAGCATAGGGCTGGCTTCATGGGCATGCGACCAGAGCAGGTCCACAGAGTCCTGTGCTCAGAAGGACCTTACGCTTCCATTTAATGCTGTAAGGCCACCATCTTGAAATCCTTTATAACTTTATCTCTGGATTCATATCTTGTGAGTGAAGATCTATAGGACATGAAGCATGGGCTGGAGAATGAAAACTCAGGCCTTATGCTGATCCACCTCCCAGGATTCTCTCCCTCCTACCACTTGCCCTCTGGTGCCCCTAGCCTCATCCAGCCTTTCCTGATGCACCTAGTGACCATTGCCATTTTTAACTCCTGGAAAGAATTTGGGTTGGGCACACACATCATCCCACTTCAGGGCAGGGCATGGTGGCAGTTGTTCCTACCACGAGCTGACAGTGCCATAGTGTGTTCAGTAGGAGCCTACTTCTCTCCCACTCTTAATCTGGAGTGGGATTGCAAACTCCTCCCACTGTGGAGTTTGCAATCCCATGGGTTGGAGCAGTATCTCCCTGAAGAGGGAGATATCCTGGTCTGGAGGTGTAGTTCAAGCAATAGAGCACCTGCTTTGTAAGTGCAAAGCCCTGAGTTCAAACCCCAGTCCCTCCCCCCAAAAAAAGGAGATACCTGATTCAATGAAGCACCAATCTGATAGTTGGTATCAGAGGACCCCAGCAGCTGGTGGGCTGCTCACTCCAAGTTGCAGGGGCCTGGGTACCCATGAGAGTCTTTCTTACTATGGAGTAGTCTCAGGCCCAAAAGAACAAGTATCAAAAAAAAAAGTGAAACACACACACACACACACATACCCTGGGGAGAGACCATGGAACAAAAAAAAAAGGTTGTATATTCTAGAATCATAAATCACACTTTTTTCTTGCTTTGTGAACAAGAGGCCCCACATTTTCACTTTGAAGAAAGGACCTGTAAATTTTATGTGTTGCCATAACACAGAGTTAGATCTCAATATAGCAAAGGATCTTTAAGGCCATCTCAGTTCTAATTCCAAATCAACCAGTGCTCAGCTGAGCAGCAAACAGGGGCATTATGTGGTTTGATTTTGTTTTATTTTGTTTTTCCTGAGCCCCTTCTTCACCTGTATAAGGAGGTAAATACATACTGAATTGTGCAGTCAGGACACTTTGAACAAGTAGAGGGAAAGTCAGAACCCTGGGCCTAGCACAAATTTTCACTCAGATCCCTCCCTGTCCCCCTTCCCATCCTGCAGCAAAGCTGCCAAGTGGCCACTGGGCCTTCATGAGTGCCCCAGGAGAAAAGCTCTCCTGCTGTCTGACAGACTTAATTAGAGAACCAGAAAATGAACAGAAGCAGCTGAGCATCCAGGGGAAGTTTATAAAAAGA